AAAAATAATAATAAATAATAATAATAATAATAAATTATAATTTAATTAATAATTTATTTTATATTAATATATATAATTTTATTTATTTATTTTGTAATATTATTTATTCAATTTATATCAAATATTACAATGTTTTAAATTAATAATTGTAATTTATATTTTTTTGAAAGTAACATTTATATATATTTAATTCATAATTATTTAATTACGAAAATTACGAAAAGAAAACCAAACAAATACAAAAAAAGTTTATTTTTTATTCTTTGTTATTTTTTTAATGATTATATTTAATATTGACAGAAAATATTTTTTAAAAGATATTTAAAATAGTTAATATTTAGTCAAAATAAAGTTACAAACGTTATCAGGTAATAACATCGTACACGCCCACGCAAGAGATAAATTACAAATCTATATATGTGTGTTTCTTCAATTATTTTTATATCATAGAATATTATTGATATTATAACAAATAATTTTGATTGACAAAAAAAAAAAAAAATAAAACAAAAAAAAGATTGAAAATTTAAATAGAAAAATAATATTTTTAAACTGTAATTAAAACACTTCTTATTACAAATTAAAAAAAAAATAATAATAATAATATTGTATAAAATTAAGTAATGAATTTATTTATCACGTTATAATTCATATTATGTACAATAAATGAATTAATGAATTTTTTTTTTTTAATATTTTTATATAATAAATAATAAACGAATAATTTGATTTTTTTTTTTTAAATTACTTTTAACAATTATCTTCCACATTTTCATTCAACTATTCAATTTGTTTATCATGTTATTAATCATATATTATTGTTATTGTTACATGTTTTATATATAAAATAAATGAATTAATGAATTTTTTATAAATATTTTTTATATGATAAATAATAAATGAATAATTTGATTATTTAAAAAAAAAAAAGATATTTTAACAATTATCTATCAAATTTTCAATGGATATCAATGTTTCAAATTTAAATGGTCTAACATAAATTTCTATTAAATAGTTGAATATAATTTTATCTATCTATCTATCTACCTATCTATCTATCTATCTTTCTTACTCATGTTAGAATATGCTGGACCATCTTTAAGATGTTTGACGACGACGAGCCTGATATCTTACCAGAGATTCTACCAAAACTTACACCATTTGAATTACTGTCTTAGAGATATGGTTAAACCACGTTATAGTAATAGTACGGGTACTTCCTTTCGTGATATGATTACAAACTCTAACTGTGAACATTAGAACAATTCCTATTCTAACGATGTGTGATCATGATTGTTAATAATTATTACAACGATTAATAGTACAATTTTTTATTTAATTATATATATATATATATATCATTTATAATTTAATTATATATCATTTATAATTTAATTATATATCATTTTCAATTCAATTATATATGATTTATATTATTTATATAATTATGTATAATATTGTTGTAATACCAATAATATTCTATAAATAATATTAAAGAATATTGTTATACAATACAATAAATAAAATTGAAGAAACACATATATAAATATTATAATATAATTACATATATAATTTTATTTATAATAGAGAAATCATTAAAAAAAAAAAAAAAATAATAATTTTCTAAATGAAATTCTAATTGGAATTTTTGTGTTCCTTCCTTAAAATATTTTAGAATTAATAGAACAAAAACAACAACAACAAAAAAAAAGAAGAACAAAACAAAAATATATAATTTATAATTAAATTATAATGTTAATTTAAATATCATTTTAATTATAATTATAATAAAAAAAAAGTCATTTTGAACAAACAAACAAAATAATTTTTCTACCAAAATTACAATTGGAATTTTTTTTTCTTTTTTGATTCGTTCCTTAAAATATTTTTGAATTAATCTAACGAAAAAAAAAAAAAAAAATAAAAGTATATAATTTAGAATTAAATTATAATTATCATTTAAATATAATAACTATAATTATAATTATAATAATGAAATCATTTAAAAAAAGTAAAATAATTTTCTAAATGAAATTCCAATTGGAATTTTTTTTCTTTGTTCTTTAAAATTGTTTTTGAATAATAATAATAATAATAACGAAACAAAAATTGTATTATATTTTTTGATTTGTCAGTTAATGAGAAAAATGATGATAATAAAAAGGTTTCTTGTCAAAGTTAGGTATGATAACGCGTTGGCTTGATAAAATGCATTAAAAGCGACGAGATGGTTTAGTGGTAAGGAAAAGTTAAGTTTGAATTATTACACGAGATAAAGTTTTGTTCCATATTGTAAGTGTACTTACTTTATACTGACGGTTTCCCTTCGTTCTCTTAACTTAGAAATTTAAACATTGATAACGTTTCGACTGTGTATACTTCAAAGTTACGTATACATATATACACATACGTATGTGTGGTGCATCGTAGAAGTTTCTCTTTTGATTTTACGTTGAATTTTCTTCCGACTTTTTTTTTTATATATAAATAATAGACACGAAAATAAAGATTATTTTAAATATTTTATAACATAAGAAGATAGTCTAAAAAGATCAAAAGATAAAAACAATATCAAATATAAAATACGTTTTAATAAATAATTTCATTGGTTAATCATTTATCATTATTTTTCTATCATTTGTTTGATTCTTTTAACAAAATATTTTACATGGTTTCATATATGTTATGAACTATCATATAAATTGTTAAATTAAAAATTACGAGTGTTATTAATAAATTTAGGGTTTGATATTAATTGTAAGAATTAAGTAAAATATTAAATAATTAATACAAACTCATATTATTATTTTAAATTTAATTTTGAGTTAGAATTAGTACTAAAATTAGTACATTTTTATAAATTTATATTGGTAGATATAATTTAAAAAAAAAAAGTAAAAAAAACTACGAACTAAATGAAATAACTAATATAAACTCACAGTATTTTTTTTTAAATTTAATTTTGATTTACAATTACACCACTTGCATAATTATATGGGTGTGCATATAATTTAAAAAAAAATAAAAAATACCACGAATTAAATGAAATTACTATAATATAAACTCATATTATTTTAAATGAAATTAATAATTGATTATAATTTGGTTATTTCATTTGTTTATATATGTATTTGTATATAACATATAATACACATATTAATAATCAATTAATAACCGAATAAAATAAATCATATTACTTTCCTAAATGTAATATTTTCCCTTACAATTAGATCATTTATTATTATTACCATTATATGAATACACATAATTTAAAAAAAAAAAAAAAACAACAAAAATTCCTAACACTAAAATTCATTTGTTTAATATTCAGATTCCAGATCTCGTAACTGAAGAGACAACAACAACAGCACCACCACCACCATCATTGAGTATGTCACAATTTGAGGATCTCATGGAGGACGACACTAGTTGTCCGGTTCATGGTGGTGATCCAATGTTGTCCTCCCCACATTTACCACCATTGAGTCCACCTGCAGCAGTTGCTTGTCATCATGGTTTACCAGACGAGGATACGTTAGGTAGTTTGACGGCAACCACTTCGAATTCTTCCTCGGACATGGACATAGTCGCGTAGCCAAGAAGAAATGTCAGCCCTTTATCCCTTCGATCTCAAGTTCGTCTTAGTTTCATCATCCTGACAACCACCACTACTACCACTACCTGCTGGTGGTGGTGTTGGTTGTGGTGGTGGTCGTTTTCATCGATGAACAAACATTCGAACCTTCCACCCTCAACCCCCGACACCTACACCTGAACCCACTCCACTTCTGTAGCCCTTATATTCCTCCTTTTTTATCTCATGATCAAACCACTTTCAACTTTTTCTCATCCACCACCAACACATCTTACTATACTATTACTATTACTATTACTACTACTACTATTTCTCCATTACTTCGTCCTATTGGTGGTTGTTATCATCCTGATCTTCTTTGTCGAGGTCTTCTTCTTCTTCTTCTTCTTATCGGATTCCAATGTCGTTCCTGTGACGATCACAGGAAAAATTTTCTTCCAAGATCAGAAAAAGAAGTCAAACAAAAAGAAAGAAGAAGAAGAAGATGATGATGATAATGATAATGATAATGATGAATAATGAATTTTGATCAATACAAAAGGAAAAAGATTTGAACAAAATTATTAAACATTATGATAACATTGACGTGGTGATTTGAGTTTTAAGAGAGTTTAAGAGATGGGGTTTCTTTTATATTTTTTATTTTTTCCAACCCCCATCTTAACCCATTACTCGCCTATAGCCTTTTTTTAGGGATGCATATTCAAATTGTTTTTTTTTTTTTTTTTTAATCACTGCAACTTCCAAATGCAAAATTCTTTTAATAACTGTAACTGCAACATGCAAAATTCTTGTAATAACTGGAACTGCAATTGCAACTTCAAAATGCAAAATGCAAATTCGTTAAAATCATACAAAAGAAATTATTTCAACATTTTCTCTATTTTATTTTCAATCAATAATTGACGATATCAAATAATTTCTATATTTAAATATATAAAAAAGAAATATTTGTTGCAATAATAGTTCTATGTTGGTTAATATGAATATTGTTATACAGTTAATTTAATTTTATTTTTGCAATTTCGTATTATGACAGGTAATGGGTTAAACAAGAAGATGATACGAGTTTGATACAAAATTGAAAGAACAAAATGCATAAAAGACAAAAATAAAATTATTTGACTATTGACTTCCTCGCAGGAACGAGAAGAAGTTTTACATTCACCCCACCACCACCACCAACACCACCCCTAAAAATTATTTTTCTTCAAAGAAATAAAAAAAAGATATATATATATATATATATATGAAATAATAAAAAGTTGTGTGTGTGTTTGTTAAAAGAAGTTACCAAGAATTTATTGTTTTTTTTTACGAACATACATACAAACAAAATGAAACTAAATATATATCTATATATATATATATATTTTTATTTTTTTTATTTTTTGCTTTCTCCTTTCTTTTTCTTTTTCTTTTTCTTTTCTTTCTTACTTTTTTCTTTTCATTTTTCGATAACAGCGGCTGGCCGCTTTATGTGCGTGCAATCCGTGACGATTTAATTCATATCGCGTTTGTTCTTTGTTCTCTTCTTAATTAAATATTATTAAAATAATTATAATAATTGTTGTTGATGTTGTTGTGTCGTGTTGTGTTGTGTAGTGTTGTGTGATGACGAAAAGAAAAAAAAAAGAGACCTATTTTATCGATCGTGTATCTATTATAGATCTCGAATCGAAGAATAAAACTGATAAATCGTTTTTGTTCGTTTATCTACAATTAATAATTTATAAAAACATTACGATCTTTTTATTTTATTTTATTTTTTTTTTTTTATTTCTTAAAAGATCTTTTTGTTATTAGATTTTAAGAGGAAACACGCCAATTTACAATCAGAAAACAATGGAAATCGTCGATTTAGAGAATCGTATTTTTTATTCATCGATCTACCTTGATTGCAATTATTATTATTAATTTTTTTTTTTAAACAATAACGAACATTGCAATTATTTTTTCTTAGAAATATGATGCATGTATAAGATTTATATTAATTGATAAGAAAATATGGAAACGTTTATTTTATAAATTTGTTTTTAATTAAATCCTACAAAATTCGAGTTTATTTCTAACGTTGTATCAAAGTTCTTTTAAAAATATTATTAGAGACAATAATTATTAATTAATATAAAACAATATTATGCACGTTTCTTTCTTCTTCTTCTTCAAGTTTATTTCTAATGTTGTTCTAAAGTTTTTTTTTTTTTAATTCTTATTAAACAATAATTTTAATCATTTATATGAAACAATATTATGCACATTTCTTTCTTCTTCTTCTTTTAATTTATCTTTAATCATTTATAAGAAAAAGAAAGTTATATATATATATTATATACAGTGTGTTTTGATAAAACAGTGTTGAACAACGAGAAGTTTACTCGTCAAGTTTTCTTAGGATTTTCAATAATAACAATAACACAAGTTAATAATTACATTACGAATTTCATTGAAATAATAATAGCTTGTTGCCCACCTTACTTATTTTCAAAATGTATTTACAATGTCAAGATATTATTATATTCAATTTTTTATTACGATTTAATATTCATTTGATCTATTAGTTTTAAATAATTCAAAAATATTTAAATATTATTATTATTATTATTTTTTTTTAATAATCATCAAAATTTAATGAACAATCGACAAAATTTATGAGAATGTTATTGAAAACCACGTTCATTTTATTCATTCTCTCTCTCTCTCTTTCTCTTACAGATAATTACATATTCGAAGGATAACTAATATTTTATGATATTAATTATACGACATGATAGATAATTTGATTTAATCAAAATTGATCTATTAAAATTTAAAAACTAAAGTTTAAATGATGGGAGAGGGGGGGTGGTGCTAGCATGGAAAAATAAAAAAAAGAAAAAAATTCAAGTTGACCAATTAAAAATTTCACGTGAAAACATTCCAAATAACAAATAATTAAACAATTATAAAAATACGATTTGTAATGATTGATAATTAATTGAAAAAAAAATTCACGAGATTCCATAGAGAAAGTGCATAATAAAAATTCATAAATATAAAATAAAATAATTCAAAATTAATTAACAAATAAATAATAAAATGAAGAAGAAGAAGAAGAAGAAGAAGAAGAAGAAAAAATGTATGATTGAAAACAATTTAATACATGATTCAGTTTAATTGTAAGATAATAGATAATTGCGAGTGAAGAAAATTCACGAAATCCCATAAGAAAAAGTATATAATAAAAATCCATAAATAAAATGAAATAATTTAAAATTAATTACAAAATAAATTTACAAAAGTATTCAATAACAATAATGATAAATAATCGAGTGAAGAAAATTCACGAAACCCTATAGAGAAAGTATATAATAAAAATTCATAAATAAAATGAAATAATTCAAAAATAAATAAATAAATTAAGTAAAGAAACAAATAACAGAATGAAAAAGAAGAATAAGAAGAAACACATATGAGATTAAAAAAAAAAAAAACAATTTCATATAGTATTCTGTTGAAATGTGATAGATATAATCGAGTGATGTAAATTCGAGGAAATCCCATAGAGAAAATGTATATAGGGACCATGAAGTATTAACATGTGAGATAGAGAGAAGAGACTTGATTCTGTCGATTCTGTCATAGTTTACATTAGCTTCTGCCAGGTAAAGCACTCAACACTCCAAGTTCGTTACTAAGTTTGCTAATAGTTATTGTCTTCGTTCGACGTTCAATCCGTGCTGCGCATGCCGAATGAGTTTGGCTTAGGTTAAAGGGTGAATAAGGGTGGTAAAGAAGGTTTATAGTAGTAGTAGTAGTAGTAGTAGTAGAACAGAATTGAGAGAGAGAGAGCACCGATTTCTACGAGGATTTCACTACCTTTGTGTTCGACGAGCCGTCTAACCTAAATTGCAACCCCCATCGCCTTAGGCCAACGCGAATTGTCCCTTTATCTTTCCCTTACGCTTTGTCGAAACACGGACAAAAATTTCATTCGTCAAATTGTTTATATATCTTTTACACACTTTCATATATATTAATATATATAATAATATATTATATTATTCACATATTATAATATAAATATCATGAATGTATAATATATATATATATATATTAGGTTGGTAATTAAGTTAATAAATAAGTTAAATTTAATTTTAAATTTAGTTAAAAAAAAAAAAAAATAAATTAAAAATCAAAAATAAATAAATAAATCAACAATTATCACAATATATATTATGATATTATATATTATATATGTGAAGGTATAATATATTATCTTATATTAAATAATATACAAAATATAACACATACTACTACTATTATTGAAAAAAATTATCATTCATAAAAGTATTCGATTACGATTAAACCCTAAATAAATTACATATTATTTTTATTATTTCATTTAATTAACAAATTATGCTTTTTTTTTTTTTTTTAAAGGAAACATCCTAACGTCAAACATTTAAAATCCATCCCTCCCTTACCAAATTTCATTTCTATCTTTCTTTTATTTTATTTTGTTAATATTTAACCAACTTTATTAAACCAAATTTTGAACAGATAGGTTTGAAAATACTATCAAAAGAAATCATAGGAAAATAATTGTAGCAACACCTTTAAGTTTACTTTTGAGTGTTAAAGTGACGTACGTTTTCAAGTGTCGATAGTTAAGGGATTAGCTCAAACCACCATAGAGGGTTAGAGAAAGGTAGGAATAGGGGATAGATAGATAGATAGATGGATTTCGTTAACTATCGTAAATCGAAATCGGTAAGTCGGTTTGGTTTGCTTCGGAGAGTCCAAGTGTAAATGAATTTATTCGAGCTCGTATTTCGTTCTATTTCGATGTATATCTATATCACTAAACGTCTATTGCACATGTGTGTTTCTATATATAAACATATACACACGTACATATGTACACGAATATTTGTGTATGTATTTGAGTATATATAAACGAATGCATTGCATAAATACACGTGTGTGTTTACGTGTGTTTGTATCTGGGCGTTATATATAAACGAATGCATTGCATATATACGTATGTGTACGTATGTGTATGTATAATGTATACATATGGGGTAGAATGGGTCAAGTTGATATTGGGGTAATTAGATATAATATATTGAAGTTATCAGATTAGTATACATACAATTATGCATATAGTTTGATTACTGATTATTAGAAATTTCCTTTTTTTTTTTTTATGAATTTCATTCTAATCATAATGGTTTTTTTTTTTATTCTTTTTATTTTCTAAATTATATATTTACGTTTAATTATAATCAATATACTGATTGAGATATTTCATTTAATTGAATAAATATATTATATCATTATATATGTTTAATTATAAATGGTACATAAAATATTATGCATAGTTTGATGGGTGATTAAAATATGTTTAATATATGTATTAAAATCAATTAGTATAATTTCGGGAAATGAATAATAATTAAAATGATTTTTATATCATGAATAATATCAATAAATATTTAAAAATGATTTTTAAATCATTATT